TTCGTAAGAGGTGTTTGGTAGTTCATTTGGAATTTGAATAAGCAAATAAAGTTGAATCCACTTATTGAATCATCGAAGTTCGAATATGAGAGAAGATTTTAACTTTGGAGATTACGATGATCAAACTGAGACCGTCATTGAACGTGCTTATGTTCAATGATTGTTTATTTAGTCTTGAAATCTTAAGAGTTCCTGAAGTACCGTCCAGCCCAAGAACGTTCTAAGAAGTATAATGTGAATTTGCGCTTTACACATTAAGATTACATGCTCTGTCCTGGCGTCTGCAATTGGGGATCCAAAGTAGAGAAATCGTTCAGTCTCACCCAGATTTGGATTAGGAGAGATGAAAGAAAATTGAGATCTGATTCCTGCTGAGTGATAATTATGTTGTCCTAGAATTTATTTTCAACTAAACAAAGATATATAGATGGATACTTGTTGAATTTTGTGATTCAACAAATAGGTGACTGTCATTGTTAATTCAGGCTCAACACGGCGGATGGAGATGGATGAGATTTCATACAACTCCGTGGCGCAAGAATATGAGTGAATTTTCTTAATGCTACCAACGGAAGAGGTGTCCATCGCTACCCAATTTGACTATATAGGAAAAGATATGAAGATAATGCAAAATTGTGTAGTAGATTGCAGAATCAATGAAATTCTTGGATATTATTGTCTAAAGATGTTGCATTCTCACTAATTTAGATTTAGGAGGATGTATTCCCTACAACTTTGTGAAGTGTGCTACATTGGCTAGGGAGCCTTAAGGTTTCGCCTAAGTTTTAGTGGTATACCTTCCCCGGGCTGTCCAAGCGCTCCGATTTTTGTCCAAGTTGCTGTCCAAAGTCCGCTCCAAGCTCCAAAGTCCCTCCAAGCTCCGATTCAAGCTTCAAAGTTGCTGTCCAAGTCGTTCCGGAACCTGCCGCTGCTGTCCAAGAAGATTCGAAGGCTCCAAACTACTGTTTGGAAGGTTTAGGAGCCTCCTTTTGCTGTTTGGAAGTCTCCAACAGCTCCCGATTCGCCTCGAGGTCGCCGGAGATGAAGAAGGAAGAGAGTAGAAGCCTTCCTTTGCTGTTTGGAAGCTTCAAACAGCTGCCTTGACCACTGCGAGCTCGCCGAAGTTGAGGAAGGAAGGTGTAGAGACTTCCTGAAGCTTGAAATCCCGGAAACTCTGGCGAATGAGAGGGACAGAGCTCTCGGGGGGTTCGGCCAAGGGTCCAGGCGGAGTCGGGCAGGTATTCCGCACGTGAGGAAGGAAGCTCGGGCGCGAGAACTGTCCGTCGCGGTCTCTGTTCGGGACGGAACACACGCGGGAGCTGAATCCCGCTCCTCTCTCTCGCTCGTTCGCTCTCTGCGTCGGGACGGAAGACACGAAAACAATAGGGGGAGCCGAATGAGCTCCCCACTGCTTCTCCCGCTCCCTTAGAGTCGCACGCAAGCAGAGAAGCCGCCCGATCCGTCACGTCTGCCTGCTTCGATTCGTGAAACGAGGAGAAGAAAATCTACTCGAGTAGATTTCTGCCCAACTGATTTGAAATTGGGTGGGATTTGTGATTCGATCCTAGCCCTAGATCAAGAAATTTGATTTTAGAAATCAAATCAGCTTATGATTTCATTAGTTAGGGCTGAAATTGAGTCCGAATTGGACTCGACCCGAACCGATTTGGGTCGGTTTGGGTCCGATTGAGTTCAACCAACTTAATTCCATAAAATTGAACTCGAATAGGTGTCGAATCACGTCGAATTAGGTTCGACGATGCTCGACGGGGTTTGAATTGATTTGATTTGATTTAAATTAAATTAAATTGGATTTGATTTAATTCAATTGAGGCTCGATTAAAAGTAATTTTGCCTCGACGATGATCAATTGAATTGGTCGAGCGCGATCGAGCTTTGTCGGGCTCGATCGGGGTCGAGTCGATGCGAAAATATTCGTCAACAGTTTCTTGTTGAGTTATTAATTGCAATCAGCCGCTATTTCCTCCAAATTGTGAAGTGCTATGGAGAGTTCTATAAAAGAAAGGGATTAATAATACTTATAGTCTGCCAACTTATCTCATATGACAAAATTTCTTTGATTTATTTCAATTTAGTATCATAATATTAATATTTAAAATTGCAGTGTTTGATATTAATATTCATCTGTTATCATTTCGTATGTTCAACATACATCAAGGTTGCCATGATACGTGAAATTCAACATTTATGCACTTAAATAAATGCAACAACAACAACAACATCAAGCCTTTGTCCCACTACGTGGGGTAGGCTACATGAATCCTTTTTTGCCATTGTGTCCTGTTAAAAATCAAATTCTAAAAAAAAAAAAAAAAATCTTGAATTTCAATAACTGTTATGTTCAATAACTGTTATTATGCACTTCAATAAATAATATAAATTTTTTTATTTAAAAATATCCTGAATTTCTTCAAACAGGCGATTAAAAAATGTCATTAGACATGTCAAAATTATGTTATGTTCAATTTGATGAAATAACTACTTACAATCAAATAGAATATAGGATTTGACAATTATAAAATTCTAAGAATTATTTTCTCTTGATATTAGAGATTGTGTATCTCACTTGAATTGTAGGATCTTCTTTAGAATGAATGACCTGATTTCGTAAACAATCTAGCCATTAACAGATTCCTCAAATTAAGACAAATTCCTAATTTTCCTCATTGAAACTAAATTAATTAACATCAAACAATATTTTTATGTTAAATTGATTTCTCCTTATTCACGCCTTTAAACGTATAACTAAAATCTAAACTCTATTTTATGATTCTTAACGATTTGATTTTTCCTCTTCTTTTCTTTGTATTTCAACGTCTCTCCTTAATCTTATTTTTAATCTTCTCTTTCTCTTTTTCATCTTCTTTCCTTCTTCTTCTCTCCTCTTTCCGTCCCCTTCTTCTATACTCTTCTTCCTCTTCTCTTCTTCCTCTCGTTGTCTTCTTCTTCTTTATTTTCCTTGTGTTTCCTGTACTAAAGCCTCTTTTCTTCTCCTCCTCCTACTTTTCTTCTTCTCCTACTTTTCTTCTGCTTCCCCTCTTCCTCTTTCTTCTCCCTTTCCCTTTCTTTTCCTTCTCTATTTTTTTCTCTACTTTTCCAGTTTTAGCTGTACTGATCATCTTTCCCTTCTATTCTAAAAAATTTGCCTCCAGGTGCCGGCTATGGGATGGGATAAGGATGACTTAGGCTTAGGTTTAGATTATTAGGTAGTATAATTACAAGTAGATAAGTATTAATTTTTAATTCAATTTAATACTCCCCCCACGCTTTCACCCAGCTGTGGGAATTTGGGAATGGAAGGGTAAAAAAGGATAAGGGTGAAATTGGAATTGATAGAATAAGGCTACTCGAAATGTAACTGATCAATTATATAATTAAACTATCCTACAAGCTATTCCTATCGTCAGTTTTTAATTTGTTCTCGCATGGCACAGAATTTAGGAATATTCCATTTTTGCTGCAGTACCTTAATCACTGCTATGGTGAAATTAAATTTAAAACTTTGGAAAATTTTAATTTATTGAGGAAATTACATAATTTTATATAGGTATATCTTTTATATATGCATCTATATATCAAATTGATCGAAATTGAATGTAAAATTTTATAAAAATATTTTAAAAAAAATTAAGGGCTTACAAAATATGGGGTATACTTTTTAAAAGAAATTTTCATCTCACCAAATTTGAGTGTTGCAATATGTATTAGGGATTGCTCAAAAAACTATTTTATTTCTAAGTTAAAAGTTTTTTAATTTCCTAAGCAATGTGATTTCTTATTTATGTAAGCCTAATGCTCACTTGGACATTCCTTTTGAATAGATTTGTATTACCATAAAAAAATGTTCAAGACAAAATGTATGGCTTCTTATGTAGAATGGTTTATAATTTAGATTTTTTTTATGCAGCTAGGATAATGACATATATGCAAATTATGTAATGAAAATTAGGATTTATACATTAAAGACCAAGGTACAAAAACCTTACTTTAGGTGCAAATACAAAATACGATTGTTAGAATCTAAATGATATTGCATTGATGAAATGAATATGAAGATAGAATGAGAAATTAAAGGAAAAAAGTTGAGTTAGAACGGAGAAAATCCCAAAAGTCTTCAGACTATTTGTGTGTAGCCAATTTGGCCTCAGAGTACATGTTTCTCCATTTTGGTCGCTCTTTTATGCAAAATTGATGAAAAATAGTCCCTCATATTATAATTGTGATATAAAATTGATCCTAATCTAGTCCCTCGGTTATACAAAATTTATCCTAATTTAGTCCCATAAGATCCATTTTTTATCAATTTTATTTAGTTGAGGGGCTAAGTTGAAAAAAACATGATACTCGGGGACTAAATTAGCTATATATAAATAGTTGGGGGACTATTTGGAAGTTTACCAAGTTAAAATTAAGAAAACTAATCTTTGATTACTGTAGATCTTTTACATTTCTTGAAAATTATAAAGAAATGAATACTAGGTTAGAATTACTTTGTCAAACTGCTCAAACTGAATTCCTTTCAGCTTATTGGTTCATAGATTCAGGCTAACCTTCTATATTTTATTGTCATTAGTGATTATTGAATCTTGAAATTTCCATTTAAAAAAGGAGAAATGAAAAATATGCTTCTTAGGAATAAAAGAAGTTAACTGCCAGCATATTTGGAAGAATGAGCATTTGTTTGTCAAAATTAATGCCACCACCTCTTTATGTCCAATGAACAGTCTGTACCTACTGCTGTGAATTTTTTTTTTTAAATTAAATATTGACTTCTGTTCTCAGCGCACCTTTAACTGTAAAGAGTATCGTAGATTTTTTTGTTGATATTTTGACTTTTACATTTGGCAATTTGGTGCTTTCAATAACTCTAGATATGAGATTTTCCTCATTTTTTGTTGTTATGCTTTTTTTTTTATGAAATATTATCTCCTTAAGATTATAAATTTAATGTCCTGCTTAATTTTTGTTTAAATTAATAGTGGAGTGCAGGCATTGGTAGCTTCCCGTTGCTTCAATTGCGGCTCTTATAGTCATGCGGTGAAGGAGTGCCCAAAGCCACGTGATAATATTGCCATAAGTAATGCTCGCAAACAGCATGGTTCAAAACGGAATCAAAATGCTGGTTCTCGTAACCAAAACCGATATTACCAGAAAAGTTCCGGAAAGTTTGATGATTTAAAAGCAGGAGTGCTAGGGCCTGAAACAAGAGAATGCTTGGGTATTGGGGTAATTAATTCCTTTGTCAATTGCATTCTATATTAGTAAATCGCCTCCTTTGAAGCATATCTAATTGTTGTGCTGAGTGCCAGATGGCATGGACTTTGTGTGGGTACCCTTTTTCATTTTTCTAAAGAACTTTCCAATGTTCATAAAGCGCGCACCAAGTGATCTGGTTATTTCCAGAATCGTTCTCATTTCAGATTTCCATCCTCATTTTCTCATATTAGCATTTTGTCTTGTTATCTTTTTCATATAACTTTGTTTCTCGTCAATATGGTCAGAAATATGAACTTATCTTCTAATGCATATGCTGCTGATTTTAGTCATTAAATATGTGCGTAAACACGTTGGCGGACACAGTTGTGTCCTACGCATTTCATGTCCTGGTTTTTTTGCTTAATTTCCATGTCACATCATCTATCTCATGTTGTGTCCCAAGCCTTGTATCCTTATCCATGCTTTATTGACTTCTGGTATTGTGTAGAGGATAATGATAGTCAGCTATGCAATTGTAGAATAATTTTGTATCGCTTAAATTGCACATATATATTTACTCATGTGCTTGCCTTGATATTGTTTTTGGTATATCTACCTGAGTATCGGCACGCCTGCCAGATTTGGACTTGCCTGATGTTGGTCTAATGTATCCTACAGGTAAAAGGGACCTGATATTTCTCTTATATAGACTCCCTACCTTTCATTAAAAAAATTTACGTCCCTTTATTTTAAAAGTATTATTTAAATTTATAACTATACTTTTAATTTACGCCATGTGTATGGCGTGGTTTAAAAAAAAAAAAAACTATACTTTTTAATTCAGAATATGAATAAATCAAATTATCCACTTTTCAACACATTTCCTATTTTAACTCTCAGATAGCTTTCAGTTTATCTGATTTAATTGTATTTGCATCATTTCATCATTTCATTTGAAATTGATTTATTAATCCATATATAATTATTAAGTCCAAGTACTTTTACAATTTTTATCATATTGTTTGGTAAAAATTTTTATAAAATGCATAATGAATACTTTTAAATTGAGTAAAGATTTGAATATCATGTACTTCAATTTTTTTTTTAAATAATTGGACACAATGGAGAAAAAAGGATTCATGTAGCCGACCCCACGTAGTGGGATAAAGGCTTGATGTTGTTGTTGTTGTATTGCTCATTTGTCAGTTAATTTAAATATTCTTAGTTGTGTATAAACCTGTAAAATTTTTACATTACGTATTGCTATTGAAATATTTTTGTTACATGGCATGAAAATTTTGAGGGGCATAATGTTAAAACAAATTGTGATACTTAAATAAATTTATTAAACAAATAAATTTAAATAAAAAATTACAAATTCATAAAGGTGCTATTGATTGTTATATTTTGAGTGCATTGCATTTGAGATGCAATTATTTTTAATTTTTAATTACTTAATTAAGATTAAAAAAAATCCAAGGTGTTTCAAATACCTTTAGTAGGTCATTTTTTTGATAAATTTGGAATTCACTTGATTTGAACGAATGTCAAAGTCATTGCGCCTCATGACCTCGCTTCCCCACTTTTGTTTGCAAACTTATCAACTTCTCGTGCTTGAGAAATTGCCATCCTGGTATCCTTACTTTAGTGACATTCCTGTACTCACAAAATTTTTCTCCCAATGTTGACCACATGACTTCGCCACCTCAAGAACTCATTGCCTCGGCAATGACCTTGCACATTCATCCTTTGACTATTCCCTCCCTCTAGCTGTCCTCATTCCAACATTGGCACCAGCCTCTCTAGGATCATCGACCACACTGACTTATCGCTCGCATCCCATGCCATAATCTGTTTTCAAAAAATATGAAAAGAATGTAAAGAATATAATTATATATAAATTAGATTGATGTTACTTTCAACCAAACATAAAAAAATAATTCCCTGAATTTTTATTATAGCGAACTAAACAATCCTTCGTATTTCAAAAATAGTGCATTTAATTTACATTGTATTTAATTCGAAACACAGGTGTTCTAAATACTTGCAAATCAACGACTCCAAAAAAGAACCCTATGCAAAAAATGAAATTGTGCCAATACTTTGCATGACTTGCATGACTTTTCTAATCACCATGAAGAGAGGATTGAATGTTAATTATAATAATCATAAGTTTTTTTATTGATGTGATCTAGAATTTTGTAGAATTTAAATATGGTTATAATATAAAGGTACTCTTGAATCTAAAAGCTTTTTTTGGAGGTTTTAAGAAATTAAGAAATTAAATGAGTATTATTTAAAATTATGCAATGCTTTCGAACTAATGCTTATAAATTACAAAGTCTAGGAAGTTTACAGTTTAGTCTAGTTTTCAATATGTATGATTTGATTATATCATTAATCTTCTGCTAATATGTTGGATGCTTACCTATTTTCATCTCCTAGTAATCACATCCAACATCATTGAAGACAGTTCCACATTTCCTATTTTTGAAGCAAATGTTATATAAAGAAAATTTATCCACTACTGATGAGACATATCTTATGCACTAGCATAATAGACCTGTTTGTGATAAATCAGGGATTACTTTACAGAAAATGTAAATTCTTGTCTTGATTTGTTTGATTAATTCCAAATGTTAAATTCCTAAGAGTCGAAGTTATCCAATCCTTAAAGATTTGATGGAGATTTATAATTTTATGTTTGTCAGAAACATCGTACAAGTAAATAATTGTTCAAATTCAGCTTATTTAAATTTTGTATTCATCATACTGTTTTTAAGGTATTTTTAGTATGTCTATGTTCCATGAAAAGATGTGTTCTTTCATCTTGATGATCCTATTTGTTTCATCTTTGTTTTTTGTCCGTTTTATGGGTTTGTTCAATCAATAAATTTACTCTTGAGAAGCTCGATTGGTAGTTTTTGTTATGGCTTGTTTGGATAAGAGCACTGTGGCAATCATCATTGACTCATTGTTTTCTCCCAATGGCCCTGCTGATTACTTCCCAATTCCCATAAGCTTCTGATGTCTTCTCAATTTCAATTTATTGTTGCTGCCGTTTTCACCTTTTGTGATAGGATTTGTTGCTTTTTGTAGCACCAGTTCTTGCATTCTTGCTAAAGACATTTTAGGGGCGTGCTCCATTTTAATTCCATGACTTCAATGAGACTTCAATGTGAACTGGATTTCCGGATAGATGGGAAGTTTTGACTTTTATGTGCTTTATTTGTATTATGGGGTTGGCACTTTTTCACATAGAAGTGACTGAGTTCTGAATTGTTGAATCGAAACAAGGCATGATTTCATGCCATCACATCTATTGACTTAGGGATTAAACATTGGATAAGAAATCACAAAAGATAATTGAGGCATGTATGAAAACATCTTTTTTGGCTCAATAAAAATTTCAGATTTTTTTTTGCTTTCAGTCATTTGTATGCCTGTTTGATGTGACATTCATTTCTGTGTGGTGCAAATGTTTTACAAAACTTGTAGGGGTAAAACACATCTCATCCTCACTTTTGTGTAATTTACAATTTTCTGCCTAATTATTGCTTGATTGTTGCTGCAAGAGTCCTGATTTTAATCTAAACTGCTACAAGTGGAATTTCAATTGCGGTGAAATTGCTAGCTGGTTTTTTGTTGATCAATTTCTTATTGATTTTTTTAGAATTAATCAATCATTGTATTATCATCTTATCCAGCTTTCTAGGATTTTCAAGTTTATGCTAAAAAAGTAAAATTTTAAATTAGTGGTAGTGTGGTACTCGTTATGTGAATTCGTATTTCTTTTGGCATGATATGTATTCATTAAATCATTTTAATTGCGTTGAAAATTTTAGACCCTTAAGCATCTATCATCATAGCTGGCATGTTATGACTACCTGAATTACACTAAATTATAGTTTTATCCCAACATTTCTTTTGATCTGATGATACAGGTCGTAAAATATCTCTCCCATGGTTCCTTGCTGGTGTGAGTGAAACAATGTCCACAGGGCTGTGCCATAATGAACGTAGAAGTGAGCATATTGGCTGGGAGTAAAATTGATAAAGATAAAAATTTTAAATATCTATAGCTGATGCTGCAACCATTCGCATAAGCTTTAGGGGTGGTCTCTGGAAGACAAGATTATAGAAGATGTGATGAGAACTCGTTTACTTACAATGGAGTGCGCATGGACTTTCTAGAGAGAACAAGGGAGCAAAAGATAACAGTAACGTAGGAAAACGGTCAGGTTATAAGATTTAAAGAAACGGATTAAGTTATACTTTAGAAATGATTTGACTAAGGGGTCTGGATTATTGACAACTATTATGTATTTTTCTTGTATTTTTACGCCAGTTGTTTCTTGACATCTGTAAATAATATGCTGACATCAATATTTTAAGCTGACATTTAAATGCCGTCAACTCGAATGACATCCAAATACAGTACTATTTGTGTGCAAAACCAAATAAATGCCAGGCTATTTGTACACAGAACTAAACAAGTTTTGGCACCCTAAACTCTAAACCCTAAACTCTGGTAGTGTTATCTCAGATACCACTAGCTACCTAAACTATTCTTAATTCCAAAATGCAACTTCAACCCTGAAGTAATGGTGAGAAGGGTTCTATAATAGTGGTACTAATGGCTGCTGGTTATAATGATGATGACAGAATCAATAAAAGCATTGTTGGCTTACTTGATTTCTATGCGATTTTTGTACAATATTTTGATTTTTTCATAGAATGGTTGGTTGCATGTATCTATTTTCTTATTCATCTTGATTTTAAGTTTTTAATTGGTGACAGTTTAATTTGAATAACATGATGTTACATGAATTGCGTGATATTTCATGGAGCATGAAGACCTCTGCTTTGATTATATGCCAGACTGTCCTTATCGGTTTCTTAGAGGAAACATGTCCTTTTCTTTAAGGAAAATAAGTTGTGAATTTGTGAGCTCCTTACTTAGCAAACGACTGATTGATATCATGCTCATAATTTCTATACAATTGTTTTCTATCTTTTTGTTGGCAGGAACTTGATCCACCACCGTGGCTTCACCGTATGCGTCAGTTGGGGTACCCACCTGGATATCTTGGTAATCTGGACTCTTTTAACCTTATTCATTTTTACACAATTATTTATATTTTCTTCTGATTTGTTTATTGTAGATTTTGTATTCATATATAACTCTAATATAAAGGTTAGGCAACTTCCCTATTTGCAATAATGGCAGTTCAGGGAGCCTATTAGTTGCTATAACTTTAATCTAATTGCCCTAAAGAGTCAATCGCTACATTAGAACCTTGCTTTTATTATTCTCCTCATGTAATGGCTCTGTTAGATTCTTTGAAGTTTGTTTTATTTTGCTGATAAATCAAATTAAATCTTGAAAGATAATCTTCTTGTATGGAAGATAAATATTTTGCTTATTCAAGCTCCTGCTTTCTTTATATGATGCTTAAATCCTTTATTTTATGCGGCTCTTCCGACACAATCTGAGTTGCATGCACTGTGCGGCCAAAAGATGCCATCCTCTATACATGGTGTCATTTGATGAGGTCGGTGAGTCAGTTTTTAACCATCGCTGGAACCAATTTTTTGGGTGTATAAGACAGTGACCATTGATGCTATCGCTCTCATAATTGGTTGTGCAATACTGCAATTGGAGTTTCTGTAAGCAGAGCCAAGAGGATTGATAATAGTGCTACTGTTGTTTTTCTTCTTTTGTGGTTATTAAAATTATGCACTTTGAAATTGGGGCTCAGGATTTAGAGCATCACGCCTTTTTGTGAACCCATTCAGTTAATTATAAGGCCTAACAGAGATGGGCAATCCAGTAGCACATTTCTTACCAATTCCCATCTTGATTTTTAATCAAGATTGAATGAGTGAAAAATTTGTCTGTTTTGATCGTCTCCAAATATACATTACACTTCATCATTATCTAATACAAAAATGTGCATAAATAAAATCATTAATGGACTATAGATCGTCTAATTAAACTTCACATAAATACATATCAGAAGTTTTCAATTTATATCATACACATCTTCTATAATACATCAAAAACTAGACATTCAAAAAGCTATTGTATATAATAAAACTAATCACTTATCTACTATCACACCTGCTCCTATCCTTTCCTTGAAACCAAAATTTTGATATATGATGAGCTCTAAGCTTAGTTGGATAAATAAATTTACTATAAACTTCAAACATAAAGAAAATGAATATATCATATCTCGCTATATCTTGCTGATTATATGAATTAATACGAGCATTTATCTTTATAATTTTACAAACATTAGACCTATGAATAACTTGCTCGTTGTACTAAAGACTTGGTATCTCATCGAAATTAAAGGATCCTCTTTGTGATAGATTTTCTTATTTTTATCTCCCTAAAACTTCGATCTTTCATAAACAATTTAAAATAATAATTTTCTTAACTTTATTCAAATTCATAAATCATAACTCAATCGAATACAAAATAACATCAAAATAACATGTTTACCTCAAAAGAATTTTTCCTCAGTGAATCCTCAAAGTCTATCTTCTTGATTTCAAACCCAACTCACGGAACATCAACACATAAATCTGAATTTCTTATCAAAATCCCTTTCCTCCTTACCCTTTTTTTTTGTGATTCTCTTCTTTGTCTTGTTTTCCTCCTCTTTCCTTTATTCCTCTTCTCTGCTGCAGTGATGCACGCAAAAGTAAGCAAAAAAATTAAGAGGCCCCTAATTTTTTTGCTAGAAAAATAAAACTCTTTCTAGATAACAAAGTTACACAAATATTCCCAAAAAGACATAAATACGACAAACTATAACTTTTTTAAATAAAACATGATGCTTACAACATAGGACACTTACAAAACACTCACAATCGACTCAAACAATACACCTAAAGGAGCTCTTCTTTGCTTGGTTGAGAAGAAGGATACAGGTGAAGTGGCACTTGCGTAGAGAAGAAAGAGATAAGGAGTCGAGACGAAGGAGGAGAAGCTCGCAAGCTTTCCTAGACAAGGAGAGGAAGAAGTGGCATAGCTCGCAAGCTATCCAAGAAAAACCCTCAGGTTCTTTCCAAAAATCAGCACATAATAATCTTTTTTTTTTTTGAAAACATAAAACATCTCCTATTTATAAGACCAAAGAGGGCAGCCAAACAGCCACCTAAAACATTAATTAAAACCTATTAGATTTATGGAAATGAAAGACCAACAACCATAAAACTTCAGCCCTCCCAAACGGTTCAGCAAAACAGAGGAGATTCACGGGAACCAAGCAGAAAACCCACAGAACCAAGCAGAGAACCGCAGAACCGAGCAGCCCAACATGGAACCAAGCAGCCAACCACAGAACCAAAGGGGCAAAGGGACAGGAAAACAGCCAGCCACAGGAAACCAAGGGACAAGGCACGGGAAAACAGCCAGCCACGGGAAACCAAGGGACAAGGCACGGGAAAACAGCCAACACAAGAAAACGAATAGACAAAGTGGAGGAGAAGAGGTAAAGTCCACTAAAAATGAATTCAAGACTTAATAGCAAACCTTTTGGGATTAATGAGCTAGGAAGTGCAATAAATCTCCCATTTAATGAACTAAAAAACAGCTCAAAGTATTAATGAGCTAGAGAAGTCAAAACTGAAATTCAGGATTTGATTTGACTCCCCTGCCTACATCAGACTCCCCTATTTGAAAAAATCATCTCCCGATGAGTTGCCTTTTGCTTTCTTCCGAGGAGGCAAAGAAGGTGCATCCAGCTCTTGAATCTTTGCCTCGAATTTCTTCAGAATTTTTTCTTGCTCTTTCTCGATTTGTTCTTGAAGATATTTCTTTCTTTTCTCGTATTTCTCATCACATAAGAACATGTGATATTGAAGTTTATATAATTTGTTTTGAAGCGGATTTGTTGAACTTCCTTCCGTTGGAACCCATCTATCCAATGAAATTTGGACTTCACAATCTTCTGGCTTGCTTTCTCCTTTGACTGAATTAATTTTTTTGTTCTTTTCCATTTTTCTAAAAGACTCAACAAAATTTAAATTACTTGACACCACAGACTTACACGACAACTGCTATGACTCAACAAGACATACAACTTGCTTTGACACCAAATTTGATGCATGCAAAAATTTGAGAGAGGTCCCAAATTTTTTCAAGCAAATAATTCTCTTCCTATAACTTAAAAGATACTCAAAACACTACAAAAATTACATAAGATAAAGCGACAACACTTGCACAAAACAAAACACAACTTTAATATTATAATAAAAGACTCTTACAACTCTTGATACTTACAAACGACACATAAACAAACAATTTAAAGATATAACGACACATAAGATAAAACGATACATAAATAAAGTAAGCAAAAAAATTAGGAGGCCCCTAATTTTTTTGCTAGAAAAATAAAACTCTTTATAGATAATAAATTTACACAAATATTCCCAAAAAGACATAAATACGACAAACTATAACTTTTTTAAATAAAACATGATGCTTACAACATAGGATACTTACAAAACACTCACAATCGACTCAAACAATACACCTAAAGGAGCTCTTCTTTGCTTGGTTGAGAAGAAGGATACAGGTGAAGTGACACTTGTGTAGAGAAGAAAGAGGTAAGGAGTCGAGACGAAGGAGGAGAAGCTCGCAAGCTTTCCTAGACAAGGAGAGGAAGAAGTGGCATAGCTCTCAAGCTATGCAAGAAAAACCCTCAGGTTTCTTTCCAAAAATCAGCACATAATAATCTTTTTTAAAACATAAAACATCTCCTATTTATAAGACCAAAGAGGGCAGCCAAACAGCCACCTAAAACATTAATTAAAACCTATTAGATTTATGGAAATGAAAGACCAACAGCCATAAAACTTCAGCCCTCCCGAACGGTTCAGCAAAACAGAGGAGATTCACGGGAACCAAGCAGAAAACCCACGGAACCAAGCAGAGAACCGCAGAACCGAGCAGCCAGCCGCAGAACCAGAGGAGCAAAGGGACGGGAAAACAGCCAGCCACAGGAAACCAAGGGACAAGGCACGGGAAAACAGCCAGCCACGGGAAACCAAGGGACAAGGCACGGGAAAACAGCCAACACAAGAAAACGAATAGACAAAGTGGAGGAGAAGAGGTAAAGTCCACTAAAAATGAATTCAAGACTTAATAGCAAACCTTTTGGAATTAATGAGCTAGGAAGTGCAATAAATCTCCCATTTAATGAACTAAAAAACAGCTCAAAGTATTAATGAGCTAGAGAAGTCAAAACTGAAATTCAGGATTTGATTTGACTCCCCTGCCTACATCAGACTCCCCTATTTGAAAAAATCATCTCCCGATGAGTTGCCTTTTGCTTTCTTCCGAGGAGGCAAAGAAGGTGCATCCAGCTCTTGAATCTTTGCCTCGAATTTCTTCAGAATTTTTTCTTGCTCTTTCTCGATTTGTTCTTGAATATATTTCTTCCTTTTTCTCGTATTTCTCATCACATAAGAACATGTGATATTGAAGTTTATATAATTTGTTTTAAAGCGGATCTGTTGAACTTCCTTCCGTTTGAACCCATCTATCCGATGGAATTTGGACTTCACAATCTTCTGGCTTGCTTTCTCCTTTGACTGAATTAATTTTTTTTGTTCTTTTCCATTTTTCTAAAAGACTCAACAAAATTTAAATTACTTGACACCACAGACTTACACGACAACTGCTATGACTCAACAAGACATACAACTTGCTCTAATACCAAATTTGATGCACGCAAAAATTTGGGAGAGGGCCCCAAATTTTTTCAAGCAAATGATTCTCTTCCTATAACTTAAAAGATACTCAAAACACTACAAAAATTACATAAGATAAAGCGACAACACTTGCACAAAACAAAACACAACTTTAATATTATAATAAAAGACTCTTACAACTCTTGATACTTACAAGTGACACATAAACAAACAATTTAAAGATATAATGACACATAAGATAAAACGACACATAAACAAAGTAAGCAAAAAAATTAGGAGGCCACTAATTTTTTTGCTAGAAAAATAAAACTCTTTCTAGATAATAAATTTACACAAATATTCCCAAAAAGACATAAATACAACAAACTATAACTTTTTTAAATAAAACATGACGCTTACAACATAGGACACTTACAAAACACTCACAATCGACTCAAACAATACACCTAAAGGAGCTCTTCTTTGCTTGGTTGAGAAGAAGGATTCAGGTGAAGTTTGGCACTTACGTAGAGAAGAAAGAGGTAAGGAGTCGAGACGAAGGAGGAGAAGCTCGCAAGCTTTCATAGACAAGGAGAGGAAGAAGTGGCATAGCTCGCAAGCTATTCAAGAGAAACCCTCAGGTTTCTTTCCAAAAATCAGCACATAATCATCTTTTTTAAAAAACATAAAACATCTCCTATTTATAGACCAAAGAGGGCAGCCAAATAGCCACCTAAAACATTAATTAAAACCTATTAGATTTATGGAAATGAAAGACCAACAGCCATAAAAGTTCAGCCCCCCCAAACGATTCCGCAAAACAGAGGAGATTCACGGGAACCAAGCAGAAAACCCACGGAACCAAGCAGAGAACCGCGGAACCGAGCAGCCCAGCACGGAACCAAGCAGCCAGCCGCAGAACCAAAGGGGCAAAGGCACGGGAATACAGCCAGCCATGGGAGACCAAGGGACAAGGCACGGGAAAACAGCCAGCCATGGGAAACCAAGGGACAAGGCATGGGAAAACAGCCAACACAAGAAAACAAATAGACAAAGGGGAGGAGAAGAGGTAAAGTCCACTAAAAATGAATTCAAGACTTAATAGCAAACCTTTTGGGATTAATGAGCTAGGAAGTGCAATAAATCTCCCCATTTAATGTACTAAAAAATAGCTCAAAGTATTATTGAGCTAGAGAAGTTAAAACCAAATTTTAGGATTTCATTTGAACCCCCCCCCCCCCCCCCCCCCCCCCCCTCTGCCTTGCCTACATCATGCAGGTCTACACGACCCTGTGTTTTCCAACCGAAAGGTTAAGGATTGGGAAAAGAGAAATGCAAGTGTTAATGCATTAGGTAATCTATAATTATATAATTGAATTCATAAGATGTCTAATTTATCTCATAGGATTAACAAAACTTAAGTGACCACAAATGGACAATTAACAATCAATAATAGGACTTGATATCTCATCGAAATTAGAGGATCATCTTTGTGATAATTTTTCTTATTTTTAACTACCTGAAACTTCGATCTTTCATAAACAATTAAAAAATAATAATTATCTTAACTTTATTCAAATTCATAAATTATAACTCAATCTAATACAAAATAACATCAAAATGACATGTTTACCTCGAAAGAATTTTTCCTCAGTCAATCCTCAAAGTCTATCTTCTTGATTTCAAACCCAACTCACTGAATGTCAACACGGAAATTTGAATTTCTTATCTAAATCCCTTGCCTCCTTCCCCTTTTTTATTTTTATTGTCCTTCTCTTCTTTTAGTCTTGTTTTCCTCTTCTTTCCTTTATTCCTCCTCTGCTTCTTCTCTGTTGCAGGCCTACGACCCTGTCTGGTCCAATTGAAAGGTTACAGGATTGGGAAAAGAGAAATGCAAGTGTTAATGCATTAGATAATCTATAATTATATAATTAAATTTAATAAACTTTATATTCATCACCGCCTTCCATTTCCAACTCCTCCACTAAAAGTGGATTTTGCCAAAAGCTAGTACAGTGCAGTATTGCTTTGAACGATAATTCAAATAAAAAAATAGTGTTTTTAATCAAAACATAGGAATTAGATTAAATTAGTACATTGATTTATAAATTCTATTATGCTAATCGTTATATATATACATCAAATTATATGAAATATGGAAATTTATAAAAATATTTTTGAACATTTTCAGAATATATGAAAAATGGCGTATAAATTTTAGAAGAAGTTTTCATTTACTTTTTTTTTATATTTTTGAGTATTACATAGAGTTCGACTGCAGACAACTGCATAAACCTTGTCTGGCGGTGGTCAAGCAAATTAGCTTATATCTTGGAGTTTTTAGCATGGTTACTTTCAATTGAAATTGTCCATCACTTCTACATCCCCTAGCAGTTTATGTGATCTATAGTTTCTGTAAGTTATTCTTCACTTAGGCAGAACGCTTTTAATTTGCCCATCACTTCCAGATACCCTAACTGCTCCTATCTGTTTCTGCGCTTTGTAGTTCTTATTCTTCACTTTAGAAGTTTACTTCTAACTTGTGAAAAGAGCTGGTGAGTAGCATGCTGAAATTTTTAATCTTTGACCTTTGTGAAGATCGTCAATGCATTTATCCATAACAAAAATTAGATGGTTTGTGGCTGGATTAATCATACTGCTATTAGAATTCACTTCGCTAAGGACATCCATTTTGAAACCCTTTTATTCTGCAGAAAGGATCTATTTTAATGCTCATTCAACGCTCTTTGTTGAACGACAATGATTATATTGGAGTAGCTTCATGTTTAAACAACTTAGCAATATTATAAGTGCAGTGTATCAACATATTTTTTTGAAATTAACTTGTTACGACTTCTACAACTCCACAGATGATGTTGAAGAAGATCAACCTTCTGGAATCATCATATTCGCTGATGAGGAAGGAGAGACCGAATGCGAGGAAGGTGAGCTTCCTGAAAGGTCTGAGGGGGCTGTTCCTCCGCCATCGAAGAAGATGACAGTGGAATTCCCAGGGATTAATGCACCCATTCCTGAGAATGCAGATAACTGGGTTTGGGGCACTACTCCACACAGCTCGCATAACCACGGCTCTCATTCGAACTCAAACCGTCCAACAGATTCGCACCGCGATCACATTGAATCCATCGATCGCCACCGGGATGATGGACCCCCTGGTTCAGCTCATGGGCTTGCTGCTTTCTCCAGGCCTGGCTACTCACCCAGGTACAGCTCTCAGGACCATTATTCTACTCCAAGTCCACATTTGGGAAGGTCTCTCTCTGACAGAAGCTGGCCGAGCCCACTCTACGAAAGCTCCCCAATTCACAGCCCTCACAGTCCCCACCCTTACTCCAGTCTGAACTGGCAGTCTCCTCCATATCACAACCTGGTAGCCAGCAATAACCAAAGGAGCTATGAAAATCCATATCGTTTGAACTCTGATGCTCGCGAAAGAGATCAGCACCGGCACGACCACCACCGGCATCATCATAGGAGGTGAGAGTGATCTGTTATTACTTATTCCTAATTCTAAGGTTGAAGATTGTTTATGTTGCTGTGTTCTTGAATCATTTTCGTTGATATGGATGTTCATAGTGCATTTGTTTAACCTTTGAACCATTCATGTTGTCTTGTATCTTGTAATGTAGGTACACTGATTGCTTTAGTTCAACTTGAACTTAATCTGATTTGTAAATTTAATGGCATACATTGTAATTTTTTTTTGTTAGTTTTTGGGTTTTTTTTCCCCCTATTGTGCGATATAGATTAGATCATTTTTAGAGAGCTATAAAGCTTATACAATATGTCCTTATCCATTATGCATATGTATCACCATTACTCCTAAGAATTTTTCAATGATAGTTTTTTTTTGTGCAAATGTGTTTGATGTAAACGTAATAAATTCATCATCTTTCGCTAGGAAAAGATATTTTTACCATAGGAAACATAGTATACCTATCACTTAAAGCATTTTGAAGATCTTGCATTAGACTTTTATTTATATTTTTACCATAGGAAAAGATATTTTTTTCCTGTGGACATTTTTATTGGAAAAAATAATTTTTTTGTTAGAAAGTTAATCTATAGGAATCACCGGTGAAAAAAAAAAAACATTGCAAAACAGTGCAGGCAGATTCATTAGTGGTCAAAATTGCAGATAAAGTTAAAAGTTTCTTATGGAATTTCCATAAAAAATTCTTGTAGAAAAGACCATTAGTAAGCCATTGGAATTTTTGGCGGTTTACCGGCGATCATTTCCAATGGAATTTTTGACTGCAAAACTGTCGAGTAGTCGCCAATTTTATCGCCAGTTTCTGTTGCTAGTGAATCCCTTTGTAATTTTTCATTATAATTTTTCAGTATGTTGCAAAGATTCTATTATTTTCATTATATCCTTTAAAACCTCCATAATCATTTATCCATTATCAAGAGCCCAATCTTCATTGTGCATTTACCGATTTGTGTGCGAAGAGTAGTTGGGGCTAATGTTAACGCTACATGCCATAAAAAAGAACATTCAATTTAAGATGAAAATATTAGGTAAAGAAGTATGGTACAATTGTTGCTCTTCACACACATGCTTCTGAAGCTTACCAGGAAAAAATCAGCAAGTTCAAATATGTTCAAGATAATGAGCCTTACATCAAAACAAACTTATACATTGAATGAAAATTTAAAGTCCACCATCAAGCCCAATTTTGACTCATTTGGAATATGATCAAAGATAAAATCTACCGTCAAATCTGAAGTCCAAGATGCTCATATAGGTTAAAAGAGATTATGACATTAATTTTTCTTATGAGAAATCTTTGTATTGTCATGAGCAAGCTATCACCTATATGAGAGGGTCCGCCGAAACATTCTTTTAAAAGGAAACACCATATATGATTACGCTTTATAGAAGAAAAAATAATAATATGCAACAAGATAGCGATATTTACTTTAAATATACATATTTCTTTTTGGATGTTTGTATTCAAAGATTCAAAAGTGCATATTACCAAGTGTTAAGTGTTGTTCGAAGAGAATCTTTGGGTATATTTCTTTAAGAAATGAAATAATGAGCATTTTTCTTAAATTTCTCAATATAGGGTGTATTAGTCACATTTTTATATATTAAGAATTTTGAATATTTTTTAATCTTTAATTTTAAAATTTTTGAAGAATTCTCAAAAAATATTTTGAAAATAAATATTTTTAATTTGCAAACTTCATCGAATTTGGACTTCTCACTTTGAGACAAAAGTTTTTTTTTAGAACTCTTGCATAATCTTGTGTGAGGCATCATTAGAGTTAACTTGTGTTGACTACTCCTATTTATCATATGTTGTTGATTATTTATTTGAGATGTGTAGGTAAGTAGGTTGAACCATCCATGTGAAGGTTGATCTATAGATTATAAAAAATATTTTATTCTTCATATGTATGAGCCACAAGAATCATATATCAATGATGACACACAAGTAAAAGTAAAATAATGCATAAAAAATGTAGAAAATTCTTCTATATATAGTACTTATAATTTCTTAAGAATTTTTTTTTTGAATATTATATAATATGTTTATAAAAGAACTAAATTGAGTTTTCAAAGATAGTGTGCATATTTTATTAAAAATAATGATGTGGAAGTTAATTTGATTAATGAGATTTATTTATGTTCATGAGCCTTCACAAAGTTAGTGGGTATCCACAAATCTTAATGTGCACTTTGCATAATCATTAGGGTTTGTTTTGAAATATAATTATTAATAGGCCTCTACGAAATTTTATAGATCTCCATAAATTTTTCTATGAGCCTCCATAAAGTTTATCGTGTACTCATAAACATTGTTGCGGACTAGAATATACGTGGCGATAGAGTTTTAATAGTTTGTCTTAGCGTTATACGGATATCCGGTTCACACACAGAGAACCCAAGATTTTTTATGTGGAAAATCCTTGAAAGGAGAAAAACCACGGGGCCTAGCCTAGTTGAAAAGATTTCACTAGAATTTGACTTGGTTACAATGGGCTGATTCGTCTCTAAGGACAATCAGATTACAAGTAGCAATTGTACAATAGAAGTCCGGGTGTTGAATAATGGTCTGGCAGGACTTCAGGCCTTAGATGATGATAAGGCAGAACTTCGGGCCTTAGATGAAGGTCTGACAAATGTGAGAATCTTCAATGATGACCTGACAAATATGAGAGCTTCAAGTGAAAGACTGGTAGAGCGTCAGGTGGTGATCCGGCGGAGCGACGGTGTTAGGCGATGATCCGGTGGAGCACAGGGTGTCAGGTGGTGGTCCGGCGGAGCACAGGGCGTCAGGTGGTGGTCCGACGGAGTGACGGCGTTAGGCGGTGGTCCGGTGGAGCACAGGACGTCAGGTGGTGATCCGGCTGAGTGACGGCGTTAGGCGGTGGTCCGGTGGAGCACAGGGCGTCAGGTGGTGGTCCGGCGGAGTGACGGCGTAAGGCGGTGGTCCGGTGAAACTCCGGCGGTGGTCGAGGAGGCTAAGAAGTAAGAGCGATCTCCGATCTCTCTCTTTTTTTCTTAAGCTCCGGGGGGTCCTCTTTCAAGAGAAGAGGGGGCTCTATTTATAGATTTTGGGAATGACATAGCCCTTAAATAGGTGGAGGATCAAGGGTTAGTTGAGAGTGGTTGAATGGACGGTTGATTTTGAATCCTAAGATCGTGCACCGTTCGTTGGAAATTTGAAGGTCTTAGAGATGTCGGAATTCGGCGATCTTGGGCTCGTTGGATTCGTCTCGTCGAGCCGTTCGATTTGAGTATAAGCTCGTAAAAATCGGAGACCGTTTGGTAACTCAAATTGCGGTTTGAACCTTCCAACAGCACTTTGAGCCCTTGATTTGGACTCATTTGGGCTCGGATTGGGTTAGTCTTGGTGTTGTCAGGTTCGTATTTCCGAGACGCTCAGTTTGACTGTAAGCTCATTGAAATCGGAGTTCGGGTGCTCCCAAAATTAATTTTTGAAGTTTCCAACTAGCTTTTGCCTCGAGATTCGTGCCCGATCAAGATAATTTTTGTATGATATATCAAACATAAATATAAAAATGCTTAATTACATGAATTTAACTTATTGTGATGATTATTAACTACCATAAATTAAGCCATTTGATAGAAATATTATATGAATTTATAATTCAAAATATTAACTTTTGAGAAACCTTATTTTAAATCTAGGTTATATATAAATGAATACATATGTTAAGGCTCCCCCCCCCAAAAAAAAAAAAAAAAAAAGAACTTTATGCAAAACCCTAAAGTAAGATTTGCCTCAACCCTAGCCATAAAAATCCTTCCACATAGCAAAATAACTCCTTTCATTCTTTTGAGAAGTGAAAGTTGAAGGAAATAAATAATGTCACAACACCCCGTGGCAGAGTTAGAAATTTTATTCAGGGAGGCCTAAATTAAAATATTTTTGTTTGTCGTGATATCGAGACTATTATAATACATTAAAATAGTTGCCTATGTTCCTTTGGTGGTTCTCATTTGAATTGTCTTGCCCGATTAAGACTACATTTCACTAACCGGAAGCACCGTCTATGCCATTGGAAATATATTTGGCAAACCTTTTCAAATGAATAACACGAAAGGTAGCACATACAAATTATAATGCACTTGTATCCTAGTTGAGATGAATGTATCAAAACAATATGCTAATAAATCTAGAATTGTATTGCTAGCGTTGTACTTTTTTACCATTTTACCTTCATGGAGTAGCGTTCCATATAACCCTTGAAATTCTATAAATAAAAGGTATAGAAGCACATTTTTAATCTTTTGGATCTTATCTCATTTTTGCAATACTTTGAGCATAATTTTCACTCTCATCTCTCTCTCTCTCTCTCTCTCTCTCTCTCACACACACACACACACCCCCACCAAGGGACACAAGTGCACTGATTGTAATCATGCACTTTAGATTAGACCTTTCTTAGTCTAATCATGCTCTTTTGATTGGACTATTTCCCTTATCTAATCATGCTCTTTCGATTCAATTATTTTTTTACATTTTATTATATTATTTTGATTAGGATATTTCCTTATTTGATCATGCTTTTTTGATGTGAATATTCTCTTTGTTTAGTCATCCTCTTAATCATACTATTTTGGTTATATTTATCTCATTTTAATCATGTTACTAATCAAGCTCTTTTGATTAGATTATTCTTAGCTAATCTTATTCTTTTGATTAGACAATTTCTTAGATTTTTCAAACTTTTTAACAAGCCTTTCCATTTTGAAATATTTAAAGGTGTTACAAATATTTGATTTAATTGGTTAGGTATACCACATTTACCTAAATATAAACCAAATACATTATCCAGTGCATTTCATAATATATCATATCTTTTAGTAGATCTTATTGTATGGGTAGATCATTTCTACTTGGGCATCTTTAACTTTGCATTCTTATGAGAAAGCTTAAATAGTGAACTTCGAAAAATCCTAAAAACTCAATTATGTCCACTCTGGTCGTATAACACGATCACAAATTGTACAATATAATTAGTACAAAATATCCTTGTTATTACTGTACGAATTGTAAAGTGTTGTATGATCAGTTCAAGCATTTGAGATGATCATCTAGTGATATGATCATTGTACAATACGATTAGTACAATCAAATTTGATTATCGTCATGTACGATTGGTGACGATAAAATATTGCCCCATGCAGGAATATGGTCGTATAATATAATCTTATTGGACCAATTAATC